GCTATAGGGAAGCAACTGATTTTTCCTCTCTGATTGCAAAGGGACTTTCTAGACTGAAGCAAATGGGAAAACTCGTTTGGCTCGTTCAAATGCTGGTCCCTGTTGACTGAGAGCCCTTGCTGTTCCTAAACCTCTTTCTAGGTATCTGCGCCTGTAAGACAAGTGCTTGGTGGTGGAAATACCAGTCTGCTCTACAGAATGTAATTCTACAAGTGCTGGATGAAGCCTCCAGACAAAATGGTGGGATTCTACCCCCAATACCTATTGAAGGACCATCTCTGTCCACAGGGTTCTGTACACACATGCACAAATATATCAAAAAAGTTGTGGAAAATGGAATTGAAACATAGGATTATTTTGGTGCAAAAATTTTGAAATCTATGTGTTTTTTTTCATGATACCCATTTTCCATAAACTTTTTGAAGATCCCTAGTATAAAGAAAATTGTGTAACTGTCTATTTGTGGAATATGAACTATTCAGTATCAGAACCTTCAGAGTTCTCTTTTGCTTCATTCCACAACCAATTGCTAAAAATATTAGAAGAGAGCCAGCATTGTGTGGTAGTGGCTAAAGCTGCCTCCTGCAACTCCAGTATCCCGTATGGGCAGGGGTTCCATGTCCCTGCTGTTCCACTTCCAATCCAGCACCCTGCCAATGGCCTGGGAAAGGCAGCAGAAGATGGCCCAAGTGCTCGTGTTATATATTAATGTTAGCCGTCGCAAAACACACCGAACACCAGAGTAAGGGGAAGGGTTTATTGGGGAACACCCAACAGACCGGAGTGAAGGGGCGGCAAAGGGAAAGGGAGAGAAAGTATAAGAGAGAGAGCCAGAGGAGAGGAGCTGGTAAGGAGGGAAGATAGAGCAGAGAAGAGAGGAGGAGAGGAGAGCTAAGAGACCAGAGGAAGAGGCCAAGAGAACAGGAGAGCAGAACCAAGGGAGAAGGGCCAAGAGAGCACGTGTTCAGGAACAGGCCCTTTTAAAACTTCGCCCGAGGGCGGGCAGGGAAGCAGGAGCAGCGAATCCCATTAGGATGGGGGTGGAGCCTGGCTCAGGTAGCTGGGCCATGGGGCCACCTGGCTACAACTGACCCAGTTTCCTAACAGCTCGGGCCCCTGTGAAATTGCAGCTCATGTGACAAACCTGGAAGAAGTTCCTTGTTCCTGGTTTCATTCAGGCCATCTGAGGAGTGAACAAGCACATGGAAAATCTCTGTGTGTCTCTCTTCGCCTCTCTAACTCTTTCAAATAAATAAACAAATAAAAATACTAAAAGAACAGGTCATGATACTACCATTTGTTTGTTTGTTTGAGATTTAAAAGTATTTATTAGAATCAAGGACCTCTAGCTAGAGTGGTGTGGAGGGGGGCTTCCAAGAGAGGAGAACCCAAAGGGGACTGGTGGCACTGGGCTTTAAGTACAATTTCAAAGGGAAAAAAAAAAAAAAAACTTGACAATTTGATTGACATTCAGTTGGGGGGCGGGGATGGGACATCAAAAGACTCCATTTGCAATTCTCCATCCTGTCTGGCCTGCTAAGGGAGGGGGTAGATAACTTGTTTTCACAATAAGCTGTGAGCCCTGGAGGAGCTTCCTTGCTATTCTCATGGTAAATTTGGAGATTCCAAGGAAGGAGGGCAGCCTGTTTGTTCCAGCCAAAGATAAAGTTTTGGGGCAGGAAGCAAATATTTTACACCCTAAATTCCATTGGGATCCCCTGATTATCTATTAACTCATACTGACTCCTCACATCCCCTCCTTCCGGAGATGGAAGCCCTAACATCCGTTAGGGGGAATTGGGCAATGAAGGCTCTGGCTGCTTCCTGCTGAAAAGGGGAATTGTTGGGAAGGACTGTGGAGACAGGGTTGCAGCAGGAGGTGGCTTCCCAGCAGGAGGTGGCTTCTCCAGGGGGACACAGTGCCAGCTTGCAGAAACTACTTCCTTCAGAGGTTTCATGTACATGACCACCTAGAATTTTTTCTAAGTACAGAGAAAACAAAATCTAGCAAGCAGTTTAAACTCACAGGATCTAAAATCACAAGATCTAGAACTGAGGGCAGAGTCATTATTAGAGACCCTAAGAAAAGTGTCTAAACCATGAGCAAGTTTTTTCATGGAGAGGCAAATACAAACTGACAGAAAGGGCTTGAAAATAATCAGGTGGGCTTAAGGCCTTGTCAGTTAGGAGGCTCAGACCTATCTACATCTCTTTACATGTGGTACATGATAAGGGAGGCATTCTGTTGACTTCCATTACCTAGCTGGCCTGGGAGGAGAACTGGCTTGAAGAGAAGATAGGTGGCATTTCTAAAAGGAAAGCATTTATTAGTTAATATACAGTTCTGTCTGCAATGTTGTTGACCCTACTTGGTCATGTGGTTACTTTGGAAGCTGGGGCTAGTGAACGGCTTGGCTTTTCAGCTCAGAGTGAGCAAGGCCTGTGGCTCTGACTTGGAGCCCTTTGACTCCAGGGCAGATTCGTTTCCAGTGACCCAACTCTTGGCTGGCAGAGCTGTCAGGGCTTTTCATAAGCTGACTTCTGCTGAAGCCCTGAATTTCCATATGGAAAACCAATGCAGTGGACTCACCTGTTGGGTCTCATTGATGGCAGATCACTGTGTAAAGCAACTATTAATTGACTTGCCACCTATGATAATACCTTTTGTTAAACACATTGAAGAGCTATATGAGTATGTTGCAAGGTGTCCGGCGCATAACAAATCTTCCCAGGCAGACAAATCAATTAATTCACAAGCTTTTATTGGGATTCCGCTCCCAGGGAAGGTTCTCCGGTCCCAACAGAGTGGGGGCCTGGGAAGTCACGTGTCAGAGGCTGGGAGGGCTCCTTTTATAGATACAGGCCATGGGGGTTAAAGGTTGAGGCAGGTCTAATCCTCATTGGTTGACTTTTAGGCACCCACGAGGATCTTGACAAGGACTTTTCTTCCCCGGAAGTACAGGTAGGGACTCTCCATTCCCGGAAGTGTAGGCCTTCCCTCCTTGCGGATCCCAAAGCTACCATACGTCACTTATAATGAAGACAGGGGTAAGGGACAGCCAAGGGATGAAAAGAGGAGAAATGAGTTAGATTTCTGTAAGTTATACCAAATAAGGTAAATAAATCTCCTAAAGTCTTTGGTGGCGGCACATTGCTAGGTTTAAAGTGGATACTGACTTTGGTGTACTTTCTGACGGAGGTTTCCTTCTTGCAAAACCAACTTTCACATTTCAGCTGCTATTATGGCCCTGGGAGAAGGTCCTGCTCAATATTGCTTTCAGAAGGAAACAGTTATAAGGGAAACTGCTGTCACTCAAGAATGGACAGTCACTCTCTTCTGACACCATGTAAGAAGAAGACTGGGAGGAAATTAAACAAAGATGTTGGGTACCAATGTTCTCATCCCTCTGCAGCCCCTCCCCATTCTTTCATCAAATCTAGGTGTGGAGGAAATGCAAGAACATCAACTTCTAGGTCATACAAAGGTGACCATCCCTGTATGATCCTTCTCGTGTGACCAAGGTTTTTACTGTGTCTTTCTGGAAACAGCATTCACCTATCCCTTCCCAGAGGCCATAATCAGGGAGTTCAGAACTTTGCTACTAGAGACAAGGGCAGGGAGAAGCTTTCCACTGTAGGTGTCTGTAAAGACAAGACCCTATATCAGCCAGTGCAGATCAGGGCCTGGGCCACTCTGGGCCAGCTGCTCTATCACAGAGGCCAACAAGGATCTGGGGACTCCTTGCAGATCCAGGCCCTCTCACCAGTCACCCAGACCACATCATGAGTTCCATGCCACCACTAAGTGCAGGCCCAGAGATGAGGGTGGGAACCCTAAGGAGGATGAGCTGAGCTGTAGGAAACCAAGAGCTACCACTAGTCATTTTTTTGTACCCAGGACTAAAGAGGTTGGGAAGAGTTAGGATTCAAAACATATCATCACATCCCATGTAAAACTCAGTATGATTGTTTTCAAAAGCAAGTAAAACTGTAAGTTTGAAATTTTTCTCCTAGAGTAACAAAGAGTTTTTATTTCCTGAACTGCATAACCTTAAGCTATGTGTTAACTATCCAGCATCATTCATCAGCCAAACATTCCCAGTTCATGGCATAGAGCTATATCCAGGACAAGCATAATAGTAGGACATTTTATTTCACTTATTCGCTTTTCTTACATCTGTCTGTAATTCCTATCATTCACCTTTCTAAGATTCAAATTAACCTTTGCCTTCTGAGGACACCTGAGTTCTCTTTCAGAATAAAATGAACTTTCATTTCCAATGCATTTGTATTGATTCAGTGCATACCACCTTCCCTCCCTAGCCTCTGCTTTGCTACTTCAAGAAGTTCCCTTTCCCTTGCAAAATTAATCCTCACAGGATTGTCATGAGGACTGCATGAGTAAGTGCTCATAAAGCACTTAATGTAGTGCTTGGCCAAAAAGTAAATGATTTCCAGGGTTTTTCCTTTCATGGCAACTCCTTCAATGATGAGTAAGCCATTTATGACTTGATATTAATAATGAATAAATAGGGATTGTAAAAGTAGACATTTTTCCTCCATTATTACCCACTGCCCAGCATGCAAAAAAAAAAAAAAAGCCATAATAGAATTCTGAATTTTATTAGAGAATATATCTAAAATACAATATTTATTGTTGATATATTATTTGAATGGAAATATACTCTGTATCACAACTATAACAATTTTTACAGATAATACTTCATTTACATCTCTAATTCAAAAGTCACTAAATTATAACATAATTCATATTTAAGATAACTTTGCTACAAATATATAAGAATTTTTAAAGATTTTCTTTAACATAACATCTTGGAATTATGAATGTGTATCTTCTCTGATTGACATCACATATAATCATGACTTTTTTACCTCATTTGCCTTAACTTGTTTGATTTATCTCATGATTTGGATTTGCATTCATCCATTCTACTTTCCTATGTTTTAAAAATAGCTTTCAGTGAACAATTAGGAGTGCTCAGCACTCCATGTGCTGTGAACAAAGTCAAGGTACTTTATGCCTGTTCCTCGTATTATAGTCTCTGCTACAGACAGCCTATACCATAAGCAAAGCACCAACCAGTCACAGCTATTCTGTCAAGTGAGACATTTAGTGTAGCTCTTCACATTTTATTGGAAAGCACATCAAGTAAGAGATGAGGATCTAAATAACCAGACACAAAGCAACCAGGGCCCAAATCACCAAGGTAGATTTGTGCTTAGCTAAAGGGAAACATCAGAAGTTCATCATTTGGACACTGGCTCTGGGACCACTTAAACAAAGGAAGCTTTGACTTGTCTGCCCTTCAGTGGCTGAGTAGGGCGCCAGTTGTCCACCATTGGCTCCTCAGGTTCCGCCTCCTTGTTGAAGTTAAGGTTACGGAATTTCAACATCTAAAAGACACAATAAAAATTTGAAACCTAAACTTTCACAGTAGTATTTGCTCATGCGCTTATGTTACGTATTTTGACATGTATTCCCCAATATTCACAGTACCATGCATCAGTGGCCAAAATTCAATTTAATTCCTGATACATATATATAATCACATATGGGAGAACTTCAAAAAAGCTCATGGGAGATGAAATTATGGGAGATAAAATTAAAAGAAAAGTTTATTTTGTTGCAAAATTTTTTATACCCACACATAGTTTTTTCAGAATACATATTTTCCATGAAACTTTTAAAGGTTCTTTGTATATATAAATTCTAGAATTTTTTGGATCAAAATAAACTTGCTTTACCTCCATTTGCCATGAACTTTTTGAAGTACCCTTGTGTAGATTGTTATGTTCTTTCACATAACAATTTATATAAAATATACAAAACATTGGAATTATTTTGAAGGAGATTTTCAGTGAGATTTTTTTCTTTTAAATTTAAATGAAACATCAAAATCCACAAACTCATACCTCTGAAATTTAAAACAACAATAACAATTCTAGATCTAAATTAAATTTTGTTTTCTACTCCCAGGGAAGACAAACTATAGCATCTGTTCTATTAGATAAAGTAGTCCAGGATCTGCAAGCTCTGTGAGCTGAGTCTGCCTAAGCACACAGAAACACAGGAACCCATGTGCCCATCTGAGATCTCAAACTCTTGACATTGGTTGATTTTTATTTTCTTTTAAACTTGTTTCAGTTTCCCAGTTCAATAGTCAGACACAGGCAGCCCTCAAACAATTTCCTGTTTCTTTGAGGTTATGCTCAAAAAGCAGTACTTCTCTTTTCCTAAACAAGACTTGATCTAAATGAAGAAGGGTGGTTTGGGGCAATAAAAAAAAAAAAAAAAAGAAGAAGAAGAAGGCCAAGAGCCAATAACCCCTAGCTGATATCTTTTGACAAGTAATAGTCTTCCAATCACTCACACGCCAGCTTTGATTTAGGTTTACTACTGTAATGCGCATGACTATTGCTGCAGTCCATCCAAGGGGACTCTAAAAATACCTAGGGGTGATTAATTACAACAGAATCTCAGGAACCTGAAAGAATTAGAATCTGTTTATAAAGTGCAATCAGATCAAATGTTTTGGTCAAACAATGTAAGTGACTTCTACACCACACTCCACCAATTAAATTATTCTCAAATTGGTCAACCTGACTCATTATTGTAGTATCAGAGTCAAAGCCTGACTAGAGAAGATAAAGGTAGCAGAATATGACAGACCCATTTATGTTGCTTACCTAACATTCATCTCTCCTATATTTTCTCTTGCACTAGCACTCCCCTTCTTGAAACTCAAAAGGATAAATCTGTAGGTGATCATTTTCCCCTGCTGAAAACTGGGTTAGAAGCAATCAAGTGATCTCTGATCAGTGAAGATGGGAAAGGTTTCCTAGGGGTCTTCAGGGAAAGACTTCTCTGCTCATAGGGAAGCAATGGAAATTCTATTCCTTTCTTCCTCAAGCAGAGGTTGTAGCTGCACACGGTGCCCAAACTGCTTTTGCAACCACCTTGAGGATAAAATCCTTAAAGGGCAAGGCAAAGTCAAGGGAATCCCAAAGCAGAGGGACCAGAGCTCTGACTTTCAGAGCTAAGCATGTCCCTACCTCAAGATTCCATGTTATATGAAAAATATCCCTAACATTGGCATTTTGCCAATATATTCAATTAGTAGTTCTAGTTTAGTAACACTTTGTACCTTAAAGGCAAATACACAGCACAAAGACTAACAGAGTAGGTTCAATTGCCCTTACCTACAGGTGTATTTGTGTGTATGGGTGTGAGTGTACACAATATATCCATTTGTTATAACAGCTCTCAATGGAAGACTTTGGATCTCAATCTGGATAGCTCCCAGTAAGGGAAGAAATTAAGGTTTAAATTATGACTCAATTATTACGTACACAAGCAAGAAATGGTGTTATAATCTTTCCTTATGTTACTACTTCAGGAAGCTTGCACAAATGTTATGATTATGAGGCAATTTTCAAGTCACATACCAGTCTAGCATACTATTTTTGACCCACTTGGATGTACTACAAGTCAATTTCCAGTTAGATATGGATTTACTTTAAAAGATGTTAAAAAAAAAACACACACACACACAGTACTTGTAAGTTAATACACTAAAGGAAAATGCAGCAGCAGAATCCTTGCTCCCAGACCTGATTCTGCTGAGGTTGCTGAGTGGAAAGCACGTTAATTTTCCTGTACCTCACAGTTTAGCAACACAAGAATAGCCAGGGAAATGAGAAAGTTGGACAATGTGATCTGTTTCTCATTGAAGCTCTACATTTCTCTGATAAGCACATTACAACTACTCAAAATACCACCATTTTTAACACTGTTGGCAGCTTACTCGGTCTTTAAATTACCCAGGATCCAAGCTCGTGTGGAACCCACTAAGAAATATCCATATTCTCCACTTCAACTGTTTGCTAGGAGACAATCTTGGAAAAATTCATTTGCATCCACTTTTGTGAACACTCATCAGTGACTTAGATGCCACATTAGTCACTTGAACATCACAAGAGTTCTGATACTTGTTCTCCAAGGGATGACTCTCCCTTCCGTCAGCATTCAGAGATGCATTCTCATATAAACAAACCTGCAGTTCAGTGAAGAGTGGGCAGGGAATTATCACTGATAACTAAGTAAACTTGAAGATGAACTCTCATTTTTCTGCATTTCTGTTTCTTCATTATTGACCAAAAAAAAAAAAAGAAGTTGACAGCCACCTTTTTCATTTAATTCTCACATCACTATCTATTTTACACACTAAATAAACTGTCTAGGATTATGGTTACTGAAAACAGTTTACTGAATGCTGTTCCATGGCTAGAACAAGCAGGAGGAGGATCAAATCCCAGGTTTGTCTGACCCCATAGCTTTTCTGGCCAGACTAACTACTTCATCTCTCGAAATCAACTTCTCATTAGAAAACAGACCTGCTCACTGCTGACAGTGATGGGTTCCTTGAGCACAATCCATGTCACACATTCCAGAAGAGGAGGGGTGGTCAGTGAGCCTGGGTAGGTCCAGTAGTCCAGGCTTTCAGGAAGGAGGCCACGAGGATCAAAGTCAGTGAAGTCAACGCTCTTACCCTGAAATGGGGGGAGGCAAGTTAAAAGCGTCACAGGCTCCCAGAAAGAGGAAGGGGCTGCATAGAACCTGAATTGGCTTATACCCCTCTGATAGCCAGAACATTTTATAAAGAGAAGTGACAAATTCCCTAGTGAACAAAATGAAAATAAATTAACAGATGATGTTTAACTTGGAAATACAGACTTGCAAGTGTTAGCAAAGGAACTGGCAGCTATATTTCTTAGTCCATTTCTCATCGTGTCTCTGAAACAATTCCTTACTTTGAACTTTTAAATCATTAACTAATCAAATCTAGTACTTCAAGTGCTTGCAGTAACAGAAATGCAGTGTCCTAATGAAGAGGTGATGACCTTGCTATCTTCTTTGATAGCTAGATCAGAACTAAAGGAGTGCATTCAATTCTGGACACAATGCATTTAAAGCAACAGATGCTAAAAGTTATAAGCTACTGAAAAAGTGACAAGCTGGTTGCAAAGAAACTACGTCATATGAAATCAATTAAAAGGAACTGAAGAGAATTGGCCTAGGAGTAGGTAAAAGAGAAAGCAGAAGCATGAAGAGGGGTTAGGTTTATTCCATACAATTCAAAGCAATTAAATGAGGTGTAAAGGGTGAGCATTTCAGGAGATTTATGCTGCTTCAATTTGAGGATGAGCTTCATAAAGCCAGAGCTGTCACTATGACCCCAAAGGTCCCCTCATTTTAAGTAACTGTAGTGTTTAAGCAGTTGCTCAATGACCTCTACAGCAAGGTTGTAGAAAAGACTTAAGCACTGAATGGCTGGATTCAAAGAGGTCACAGAATGTAAATCTCCATGAAGCAGGGCTTTGTTCATCTTGTTCACTATTGTAGCTGTGGATTAGTAAAGTAGTAAGCACTCAACAAATATCTGCTGCATGAATGATTGACTAATGTGATCAGATGCCCTTTCAGCCTCCTTGAAATCATGAAATTCTCTGACTCATGTATGGATGTTCAAACGATAGGAAGCAAAACTAAATACAAGCCTCACAATTATTCTAGAATTAAAATCAACTTTTGGAACAAGTTGATTCAATATAAAAGCAATATTTTATCTGTATCAACCATTGATCCAAAAACTACATGTCAATAAGACTATTCGGTTTGATCCAAAGAAATTTCGGTAACCACTGAAGCACAGAAAGTAAGTACTTAATTACACAGCAAAGATTCAACTTACCTTTGTTTTGATAGAACTCAGTGTATCAACAACTTTCTGAAGGCCTGGTGTAGCACTGCCAATCTATAGAAAAACAAAAATGATAAGCTTTTGTAACCCGGTTACTAACAGGCTGCTTTTGATTTAGGTGGCTCTACCATAACATTTCTCCAAATAATGAAACAAAATCCACCATTCTGTGCATTCCTGCCCATCATCCATAGCTTGATGACAGTCACATTATAGATATCCCCACTTTCACTAAATTCTCAATCTGTCTCTGGCTTCTTTCCATGTTTTCTCCTTAAAACTACCCTCGCAGATGTCTCTAGTAACTCCCAATGCCAAGAGATACTCTTCAATTGTTTACCTTACTTAACTTCCTTGCATGATTTTTACAATATTGTCTTCTCTTCTTTTTAAAAATTCTCTTCTCCTTTGACTTTCTCTGTGCTCACCATCCTCCTGTATTTCCCTGGACTCTTTTATTCCAATATTGTCATTTAATTGGCATCATTCTCACTATCTTAAAGATATTGCATTTGCAGGTTGTCAGGGTTTCATTTTAAGCAACTTTCTCATCTCCCTGTCCATGCTGTCCTCAAATGATTTCATAAAAATATGTCATTTCCACCTCAATATATGAGGTCAGGGCTCCTAAAGCTCCAGCCCCAACCTTTCTCCATTCCACGTTCCAACTGTCTAAAAGGCAGCTCTACCTGTTATGTCCCAATGTTACCTGCAGCTCTCCAATACTGAGTTACTGCCCTTCATCCCTCCACAGCTTAATCTTAATTTAGCATTGCCTGTCACCAAATAGCTCTATCTAGTATAAGGTTAACTGGAAAAAAACAAAAAACCCACAAAACACCTACTAGTCCTTTAAAGTTTACCACTTTATGTCCTCCACATTGGTATTTAGATAGTATCTAATGATACCTCTCAAATTGGGTCTTTGTCCTCCATCTCCACTACAATCAACAGTTGTGGAGGGGCAAGTAAATCTGAAAATATTTCAGAGTCAAAGCATTTCCTAGGCTCTTTTGTAGACTGTCCTGTTTGTTATGAATGTTCTGTCTGGTCAACCTTTCTTGAAAACAAGGAAAAAAAGACCTGGGCCATCAACTAACCTTCAAAAAGATACCCAAAACAGCCAATCCATCAGGGTGTTTTACAGCTTTTCCAAAATCCCCGTACTTGGTGTTCCAGTGAACCAAATGAAGCTAAGGCCAGAAGAGAAAAAACCACAGTGAATGACTGACACAATAAAAGCCTACAGATTTTATTCAATGCTCTTTACTAATGGTTACTAGAGAAAATGAAAATGTAGATAATTTTAAATAAAAAACTTTTATTTTTATTCTCATTATCCATGATTTGACATGAAAGTAAGTGACCTCATCAATGACTCTAAAACAAAGAAATGTATATGAGAAGAGGCACCATTTCATTTCCAGATTTGTGTTAAAACAGGAGCCTCCCCTCTGAATTTACTTACACTTTGCAAATGCTAGATAATGTTTTGTAGCCTTAATTGTGATATAATTCAAGAGAAGATGCAAATGTGAAGATCCTTTTCAAAAGAAGGGGTTCACTTAGTGTGAATTGAGTTTATAATATTAAGCTTTCAAAATTAAAGCTAAATAGCAATTTACAGATATTTTCCCCTGGAAGAAAAAACAAAGCACCCCTTACCTCTGCAGCATACTTCTTCTTGTTCACAGTGTGTTCAGAGCCTTGTCCATCGGATGAGCCCCAGTGAAAGTGAAACTGAATCAACCTGTAAGTGCCTTCAAGAGGCCCTTCTTTCAGCACTAAAATTGAAAAAGCAATATGTTACATATCCGGGTACATATGTGTATGCATACACATGTATTTGTATGTAAACACACACACACTCACACATAGATACACACATTAAATACCCACACCTTATAAGTATTAGCATCCTAATCTTGTTCTATAGTACTAAATGTCTGCTGGTAGCCACATTTTCACCCTGTGAAAATTAAATCCAGACTGAGGTTGGGTCTACACTACTGACACAATCACTTCAACTGGTTTTTATCCTCCTATGTTGGATGAAGAGGCCATGCGTGGTTCATCCTTGTTTTCTGATCACAGTGACACCGCTCTTCTGAGTTTGCTCAGGAGTCATAGGCTCAGGTCCAGAGAGAGGAAATTGTAAGCTGCACTAAGAATTTCTCTGTGGCTCATTTAGGAAGTGCCCGTGCAGATGCTTGCCAAAGTGCTGGTCTGCTGCACACATACGCGTGGGAACCTCTCTTCTGCCGAGGCCCAGTGACTGCCCTACTGCCTCTTTTTTAACCTCTGGCACAGTTCTGACATATCAGAAATTGTGAAATAATAAGCATTCCCATGGATCTTAACATATGAAATTTAATTGTCTTTATACTACTGCTAACTAGCTTTTTGTCCTCTTAAATATTTTAATTATACCTCTTTAACCTTAATTTTCTCCCCTATAAAATGGATATTCAATTATTAATTCATTATTTATTTATTGTCTTCTGTATACAGTATAATAATGTATTCATTATCTCCAAAAAATTTAAATTCAAATGGTAATAACTTTCCCATGCTTCTATGATTCTGATATCAATGCAACTTTATTCAGCAAAATCAATACTATAAAACACATTCTCAGACTGCAAACTATCCGTAAATAATTTACAGTTTGGGTCTTGATAGAGGATTAAAACATTGGAAAATCACTGTTTCCCCCATCATGCTTCCAAAACTTTTAACCTAACCTATATGTAATTAATGAGAATAAGTTGATATATTTCAAAGCTTTTAGAAGTAGCTAAATTCTACTACTTTAATTTTTTTCCTAGTATTGGATTTAAATCATCCATCACTATATTATTAGTTCATTTTTATAATTCATAAAATAATGGTCTCAAACTTTGTTTTTACAAAACAAAAAGACAGGGTCCGTATAACAAAGTTTGTTTGCTTAACTTCACCTAAGTAAGTTGGATGGTAGTACTACTCACTCATTTATTCAAAGTAAAAGATAAAACTGGCTGGAGGATTTTTAAGCAGTGGAGCTTCTCTATACCAAGACTGTCAGCTCAGCCTTGCTAGGAGAAAGAAAAAAAAAAAAAAAAAAAAAGAATGCATGGTATCCTATATGGGCATCGGTTCTAGTCTCGGCTGCTCCTCTTCCAATCCAGCTCTCTGCTACGGCCTGGGAAAGCTGTAGACAATGGCCCAAGTCCTTGGATCCCTGTCCCCGCGTGGGAGACCTGGAGGAAACTCCTGGCTCCTGGCTTCGGTTCAGTAAAGCTCCAGCCATTGCAGCCAATTGGGAAGTGAACCAGCAGATGGAAGACCTCTCTCCCTCTCTCTCTGCCTCTCCTTCTCTCTCTATGTAACTCTGACTTTCAAATAAATAAATAAATATTAAAACAATTAAAAATAAAGACTATGTTTATCTGATAATTCTGTAAGAAAAGAATTGATGTTTTCTCCAATACTAGGTTTTTGCAAAAATGAAGTAATTTATAGCTTTCGTAATACACCCTTAAAAGTGAATATGTTTATGATATAAACTATAAAAAATTCCCTTAAATCTTTAAAGTCAATAACCAATTGGTTGATCAAAAAAAGCAAATGTCACTTGTAACATTATTAATTCTATCCAGTAGCAAGTCTAATTATATAAAACTAAGCATCTTAGAGAACTGGTTTTCTAAATGTATTCTACAAGGAATCATATCAAAACCTTAAATTTTATTTTTTTAAAGATTTATCTATTTGAAAGGCATACTGATAGAGAGATAGAGAAAGAGATCTTCCATCCAGTAGTTCACTCCCCAAATGGCTGCAACAACCTGGCTGGCTCAGGCTGAAGACAGGAGCTAGAAACACCATCCAGGTCTCCTACATGAGTGGCAGAGGTCTATGTACTTGGGTCATTATCCGCTCCCTTCCCAAGTGCATTAGTAGGGAGCTGGAAGCAACCAAGACTTGCAGGAGCCTTCGGATAAAGGATGCTGGCTTCAACATCAGCAACTTTAACCTACTATGTCACTACTCTGGCCCGGGATCTTAAATTTTAAGGATAATAAGGCTTACTGCTATTTCTTATTCTTATTCTCTCTCTTGCAGACCTGAAAACTATGTCCCAACTTACTGGCTTTGGAGAGCATTTAGAATTAGTCAAAATTACATATGAGCTTTTATTAAAAAAAGTGAAAAAAAAAAGTGTTCTGGGTTCAATGATTAAACACATTCCATACTAATCTACTATCACCACATACCTTAGAAAAAACTTATTTCTGTGAAGATTAGAAACTCACTGTAATTAGGAAAGGTTACTGAATCTTTAAAGTCTAATAGCTATAGAAAACAATAATTCTAGTCTTTAACTAGTTGGTTATTTCTCTATCAATTCTTAACAAGGAGGGCCGGCGCCGTGGCTCAATAGGCTAATCCTCCACCTTGCGGCGCCGGCACACCGGGTTCTAGTCCCGGTTGGGGCGCCGGATTCTGTCCCGGTCGCCCCTCTTCCAGGCCAGCTCTCTGCTATGGCCAGGGAGTGCAGTGGAGGATGGCCCAGGTGCTTGGGCCCTGCACCCCATGGGAGACCAGGAAAAGCACCTGGCTCCTGGCTCCTGCCAGGATCAGCGCGGTGCGCTGGCTGCAGCGGCGGCCATTGGAGGGTGAACCAACGGCAAAAGGAAGACCTTTCTCTCTGTCTCTCTCTCTCACTGTCCACTCTGCCTGTCAAAAAAAAAAAAAAAAAATTCTTAACAAGGAATTTAAGCTGTGGAGTCCCTCAGAAACTTTGTTATAATAATAAACTGTAATAAACTCTACTAAAAGTAGCACATGCCTTCTTATTTGAAAAACAGAGAAGACAATACTTCGGTTAAAGATAAGACACTTAATGCTATTTTCCAGAACTTCTTATATATGTATTTATTGTGATTATTACATGACATTTCTAAAGTGAAAATGAAACTTGTTCTTGTACTGAAAAAATAATCTCTTTTAAAACAGCGGAAACTGCTTATTGCTTACTTGTTTCCTCTGCAAAAACCAACCATCTTAGTGGGTCAGTGAGACAATGACTCATTGTCCACAGTGGCATGCTGTCTGAGGGACAGGGATCTGTAAGTGGGGTTTTCTATGCTAATGTTTTCTTAAGACTCCCAAAATTTAATTTCAATATAAATCTCAACACCAAGAGCATCCCCCAGTTTTAGTTTTCATCTGTCATCAGTTATACACAGAGAGAGAGAGAGAAAGATAAAGAGAGAAACACACATATGTAAACATCAATTAAGTATAATATTATAGAAAAATACTTCTTCCTAAGTACATTGTTTGGGAAAATTATCAAATAACATTTTGCAAAATAAATAACAATTAGTAACATTGAAATAAATCAGACTATTCACACACATTGAAAACTGCAAATTTAACATTTTTAAATATTTTCTAATGTTATTATTACTTCTTAATTAAGATGCATTCAAATAACAAACTAAAGGCACTAGTGAATATCAATATCTCCCTTAAATCCAAAATACAAATAAACTATTCCCATTAATCTTTAAACTAAAACTTGAAATTTTTCCCATTAATGAATGATTGCAATTAATTAAAATCATTCTCATTAAAATCTCATTCATTCAAATGCATAATCCTACAGGAAACATGGCATTTTTCAGAAGCTGAACAATCTGGAATAACCTGAAAAATTTTAAATCATGTATTACTGTTTTGCTTGCTGGCCATAACAAATAACCTATATTTGCCAATATAGACAAATCTGAGAAAAAGACATCCATATTCCACTTCCATTATAATAGTATGATGTTTAGCTGTCATTCTCATTAGAGCAAATAGAGTCAAAATTCAAGAGAACAAAAGTTTCAGTTTAAACTGGAAAACAATTATACAGGAGTAAAAAAAAGAAGCTCTTGTGATGCGAACATCAGTAACTACAGTGTTTAGAATGATTGTGTCCATTTTCTAGACATTTAGAGGTCTTCTGAGACCATTTATCATGTGCATGACAAATCCTTTCATTTGTTACGACTGCTTATGGAGGGAAAATTCTAGAGTCCAAAAAGCAAGTCCCTAAATATCAAGCAGGGCCCTTGTGTGAAGATCCATTGTGTCACACTGACAATGATGCTTGAAACGAGCAGAAACTCATTCAGCTTCCTTTTTTTTTTCTTCTTAAACTAACATTTACAGATATGAGTATTTCAATTTCTAAAACACAGGAATGACTTGAGAATTGCATGTGAATTGGCCCAATAGTTCAGATGTTAGCTTTTAATATTTTTCCCTAAATTTTCAATAAAACAGGAGCATTTTAAACTGAGTTCTTGAAGTTAATAAGCTAGCAGGAATTAATAATTTGACTACTATTCTTTTCTCTCACATATACAAAAAGCAGGGAAAGTTACTTTTTAATAATTAAAAATAAACTAACAGGATTAGCAATTCTTCATTAGTTTAAGGTGGCTTATATGTAAAGGAATTTAGAAGATTGGTAACAGCTTTAACCCAAGCCTCTTAACTCCATATTTTAAAAGAATTTGCACAAGCTTAACATAGCAATAAACTTGATCAGCTCAGTTCCTGATACCTAAATTCCTAAATTTGGATATAAGACAACAGTTAGGACATAACTGGAAAATCTGAATCCAGAGAAGTCCTAAAAGATTACAATATCATTGAGAGGCACAAAAAGTCAGAACCAATGCCTTTAAATGCAGAAAAGTTAGAGGTAAAGGGTTTCTAAACACATTAAGTATATCATCAAAAGAGATCCAAATAAAGGGTGCTAAATTGCTAATATAAAAAAATTAAGTGACCAAAATGAATAAGTCATTTTTAGATGTAACTGTACAGAAAAGTGTCAGTTTTTTAATACTTGCTATGTTCAAGCTGAATGTTGACTGTGGTTATCAGCCAAAGAATTTTATTCTAATTCTATTTTTAAGTGATTGCCATTTAGACTCTCTAGCAAACTAGGAGGGAAGCAACTTAGCAAGTTATTTAAACTCTTTAGCTTTCTGTTTCCTCATGTTTATTTTAAGTGGGCTTGCCTACAGTATCTCTATCATTTGTTCCAGCTTTGAGAGTCTACGATTCTTAAAGAAAAAAAAATGTTCCAAAGGCTATTTTTTCCACATGGTATGATTTATGAAAATTTATTTTGCAGATGCATTTGCCCCTAGAATTCACATTTTAAGACAAAAATATGTCCACATCTTTGACCAAAGTTACTGAAAATGTGGAAGAGATATGGGCAAAGCTACAAAGAAATCTTTCATTCACAAGTTTTTCTCATATCCATTCTTGACCCTGTTTTTTACTAAAGGACAGGGCTTCAGAAAGTTCATGGAAAAACAGAATTAACAGACTAACATGTTTAATTCTATCTCACATTTTTTCATAATATGCATTTTCTGTGAATTTTTTGAAGACCCTTCATATCTTCTTTCTTTCTAGAGCACATCTGGTGAACTCCTGTTTCCTACTTTCCTTTGTTTGCAGTCTTAGCAAAGGGATCAATATTCATGCATCCACAGAAGCCTTATTCACCCTAGAAAGTCTTTCCTGTCTTACACAGCTCAATTCCTAAGCCTCCTTTATGTTTCCATAGTTCTTAGAGTACTTCCTCCTTGTCCTTATCTAAGTGACTGTCAGTGTCTTATTATTTCTGTATCTTTTTACTTGGGTATCCCCCAGTATGGGCTCTGGGAATGCAGGAGAGGGACCAGGCCTCCTTGCCCTCATGATGCTTAGATTATCACACATCTAACCGATGTGAGTAATGATATTTTTGTATTGGAACTAGATAGGTAACAAATACATGTGTCTTTACAGACTTGGGTTGGCAGTCCTTTCCAAACCAGCTGATTTTATTCTGTCTCACAATCCAAACATTGCCAACTTCTTAACAAATAATTGAAAGAATGCGATTAGTTTGTTTTTTTTTTTTTTTTACAGGCAGAGTGGACAGTGAGAGAGAGAGACAGAGAGAAAGGTCTTCCTTTTTTTGCTGTTGGTTCACCCTCCAATGGCCACCGCAGCCGGCGCATCGCGCTGATCCGAAGCCAGGAGCCAGGTGCTTTTCCTGGTCTCCCATGTGGGTGCAGGGCCCAAGCACTTGGGCCATCCTCCACTGCACTCCCGGCCATAGCAGAGAGCTGGCCTGGAAGAGGGGCAACCGGGACAGAATCCCGCGCCCCGGCGATTAGCTCTAATTGGTTACTGCTCTTATAGAATTAGAATAAAATTCTCTGAATGATAACCATAGATAGATAATATGTGGCTTGAACATAACACAAAATATTTTAAAAACCTGCTATACTTTTGTGTATTAAAGAAACTTAAGTCTAACAGCATAGTATACTCATGGTAAAACACATGAGTTTTTATTATGCACGTATAATAACTTCATTTATAGAATCAGTACGTATTTAATAGCATCAGCAGGATGTCTTGGACTATATCAAAATAAAATTTTTAAGTGACAACCACAGAGATCATCTACCGAGGGATGGCCAGGCACTGGGCTGGGTGCTTTCATTCTTCCCCTGTGGCAGGTATCACTCTCACCCCAATTTTGTTTACAGCAACAAAACAAAACAAAACAAAAATCACAAACTCTTAAAAAGGTTCAGTTACCATCATCCCTGAATCCAGGTCTGTCTGGCATCAGTTAAACCTCCCAGGCACCAGCCTATCTGCTGAATTCTACTTCCCAGTAATATGGGACTAGAATAATTTCTTTCATCAGTTTTGTAAGGGAATTACTTCATCTGGTTGCATTTGTTAGACATTTGTTTCCTCATGTTTCCAAGTTTCTATGTAGCATCCAGTGAGGTATATAATTTTGTGGATAGTTCATCCTTTGAAAATAATGATTTTCCTGTGACTCTTTAAAAAAAATTAACAGCTACAGACTAAAGCATCTTACTTCTGTTGGCTTTTGAATGACTAAATGTGAAATTTTATAGCATCCATTCTGCATGTGCAATACCAAGAGACCTTCAGCCTTGCCATATTATAAATAAATGGTATTTCTCGCAAGCAAAAAAAATCAAATCATTTTCCTTCTGTTTAATGACTTTAACATTGCTTCTTAGGGTGGGAGGAGTCCCCATGAAGAATAAATGGCAGCGTCTCTGAAGGCCTGCTTGAGTGCACATATTCCACTGGACCCCGACACGCTAGGGGCCTGCACCACAACGTGTTTGTATCATCCTCGGGAGGGGGGCACACAGGCACAGGGATCTAGAAAACACTTCTCCAGGGATCTCCACTGTCTGCCCCACTTCACTGACTTCCAGAGACGCTCTTTCAGACAGGCAAGTGGCCCAAGAATTAAGGAAAGTGGAAAGAAGAATTTTTCCAAAAACTGGACTGAATATATAGATCGCTGCTGAAAAAAACTCAACTTGACCTAATGGTAATAATTACACATTGTATAATATATTAATACTGCGGGTCACTATTGCAAAACTTGGGAAACCTTACTGAATGTTTCCTCTATCTTTTCTCATTGTTTGTCCAACACCTCCCCACGCCCACACCAAACCAAACATCATCTGATTGTAGCACCATTTCATTCAATGACATTCAGAGAAAAGTGCTCGGGAAAATAGGGCACCAGCAATTAAACCAAGTAATGAGGGAGGAAGGCAGCTACTATGTTAGAATGGGATTGTTCTCTGGCGTCTAAATAAGGAAAAAAAAAAAAAAAAAAAAAACAGAAGAAGCATTCAGTTGGTATCCTGTAAACAGCTCTATTATAAATCAGTTATAGTAATTGGTTTTGTCAGTAACAGGCCATGTATGTCCACCAACTCTAACATATCTTAGTTTCCAGGACAAATTTCTGGATAGATCCCAAGACACTCCAACACCTTCATCACACTAGACCAATATAAAGAACTATTTACAGATACAAGGTCTTCCGAGAATTTCAATATTTTAAATTGTCAGGTTTTCATCATCCTTCTCACTGCTACCTTCTAGATAACACTCATTGGTACGTAATTTTTAATGTTTAGGTATGGACCCTGAAAGAGAAATAAAGAATCTTTAAAAATCCATACCTTGCGAGTCTCATCATTGCCACTGCTGACCTTGGTGGGGGGAGAAATCTTGCCTTTGCTACTTTTCACAAGCATGTCACAGTTATTTCACGCCCTACATAGAAGTCAGGAGTTTTACCAGGGAGAAACAGCCCAGGGGCATTTCAGAGCAATTAGCCTACTTCTCAGGAGCCTCTTGACCTAATGAAGATGATCAGAGCAGCCTTTGAGAGTATGGAGACAGACTGTAGTGGTTAAAGGATTTCCACCACTCCTGATTTCCTCCATCAAGCTGGGAAAACAGCCGTAAGCTACAAGACACTGACCTGTTTTGTCGTGAGAGTCATCAAACTCCACGTTGAAAGAGTGACCATTGTTGATGATCCTCCGAGAAATGGGGTGCTCATAGCAAACACGCAGAGGCTTCAGGGAAGGGTCGTGCTTGGCCGCGTTAGTGTCGATGTCAATAGGAGACTGGCGCTCGCCATTGGCAATGGGAAAATCCTTATGCCAGTGCTCAGGTCCTGGGGATGAGACCAAGAGTATGAATCCCACAGTGTGGAGAACGGTACACCCAGACCCCTAAAACAGGGCAATGACTCTGTAGCCATCTGCTCGGCTCCAATTTTGGCAGCACCATCGAAAAGCAGAATATCTTTGGGAAAACACTGTGCCTCAGTTTCTTCATTTATAATATGGGGTCATATAATACTATGCCCTTACCTCATACACGTTGTTGTAAGAATTAGAATCCACGCATGTAAAGCTCTTAGACCAATATTTAGTGTCATATAAATACTAGTTATTTGCAGGGTCCTTTTACTGAAATTAAGCAATTAAAGTTGGGCAGACACTCATATCATCAAGGCTTCTGGTTGGAATTTGGGATGTGCAAGCTCACTAAGCCATTCTAGCAGGTCCGATTCCTCCTTCCTCGTGTCGTCGCTCGGGACGGAAGGACAGAGCTGCCGCCCAGGCTCGGGGAACTCGCTCCATTAGTGGTCAGGTCCCAACTACCCGGGAAGCCCTGCACTCTTCAAAGATGCGCAAGAGGTCCCCAGGCGCATCTTGTTCTTGGCTCCGCTTCCCGGGAGATCCCAGACCCGTGGGGTTCATGAAGCCTGGGTCCGGGTGCCCGATACCCCTAACATTCTAGGTTGAGAAACGAAGGGAAAACTCAGCTCAGCAAAACGCCCCGGGACAGGTCGTGCGGAGAGCCTTGGCCACAGGTGGTGCTGCTGAAGCGGACGGGGATGTCTGGGGTTAGGAGGGGGGGTCCCTTAATTTTTCAGCGGTCAACAACTAAACTGCACCGTTACAACCCTGCCCGCTCTCTGGCAGCCGGCTTTAGGAGGGCCCTGGCTCCAGAAACCCAGAGAGGAACGAGCTGCGCCCCGTCCCTAGGGCCCTGCGCTCCGCCTGCACACGCGCGGATTCCTCGACAGTGGCTTGGAGCCGGGCGAAGGGGGCATCGCCGGCGCACCTGCACCTCCCGCGCGGCCCGCGGCCGCTGCCAACAGCAGGTGCAGGCGCTGCGGGACCCGGGCCGGCCACCGGAGTGGGCAAGGGTCTGGGCCCAGGACGCCGGACGCCGGCCTCACTCACCATTGTGCTTCCCGTACCCCCAGTGATGGGACATGATCGAGCCGGCGGTCGGGGCAGGGCGGAGTTGGGCCGGTCTAGCAGCGGCCGTTCGGGTTCCTCTTGCGCTCTGTGTCCGCGGGTCGCACCGTCATCGGCTTTTATAGGCTCCCGCCAACTTCGTGCTCGGGGGCGGCCCAGGGGAGGGAACCCCGGGTGGACCTGAGCGACGGGGGAGGTGACGGGCGGAGGTGATCTCCCTGCGCTGGGGCGGGCCAGACTGGCCAGGAGCCGAGGGCGGGGAAAATGCTCTCCCTGCAGGCGTCGGTCAGGCTTGGGAGCTCCTCTCCCGCCGCCCAGCTCCCCCTCGGCCCAGGGGCCGGGGCCCTGGGCGGGCAGCGAGGTTCGCAGCTCCGGCGCGCGTTGGCTGCAGCGGCGGCGGCAGCGGAGGCTCCCGGGCTCCTCCGTCCGACCCGGGCTGCGGAGCGTTTACGCGCACCCATCCCCCTCCGGGGCGCTGGCGGCGGCCGCTGACTGCTCGGGACCCGGGCCCCCGGCGCCGTTCATCTCCTGTCCACTTTATGATCGCATTGGTGGCCTCGGAGCCATCCGGCCCCACTCCATCGGCCACACTCGCGCTGAGGTCTCCAAGTCGGAGGCCTCGCTCTCCCGTGTCCCCGGCCTGGGGCTGGCAAGCTAGGTTAGGAGCTATGACCTTGGGGCAAATAGGGATACGGTCCTTGAGGCGCTGGGGAGCGAGCAGCCCTGGGTGCTGGGAGCTATGCGCCCTCTGCTGGACAGCCGTGGAAGAAGGCGAGAAATACTCCCTGCTGTGTCTCCTGCAGCCGGCACCGAGGCAAACCTGAGAAATTGCATTTCCTTTTAGGCTGGCAGGGCCTTGCCTGAAGTGCTCATCTCCCTCCTCTGTCTGCCTTCCTATCATGCAGAATTAACGTGGAGACAGGAGACTTCCTACTTAAGTACCTATGGACTTAACCAAAACTTCTAAAATAGAAATCACTTTTCTTAGAAAAATCGGGTCAGAGTATTTCTTCCAAAGAGGAGAGAACCTTGGCTGTTTGGCGAAGGCAATGTGCATCTGGCATAGTGGGAAATCATTCCAAATAATTCCACAGAAAGGCCAGGCAGCATTATGACTGCTGTGGGCCCTGGGCATTCTGCCTTTAGTCGTTTCTTTCTTCATAAACAGCACGTTTCCGACAGCATTAGGAAAAAGATTAATAGCTTAATGTGTATTGAAACGTTTTCTTTGACCTAAAGCCTATTTTTTCTATTCTGATTTTCAAAGAAAACCTTCTGGTGGACACCTCACAGCGCGATGGACTGGAGGCACCGCATGCTGCTTACCTGTGCTTAAGGGATGTCAACCTGTTTTCAGAGGGAGAGAAAATGCATTTCCTACAAGGGACTTTGCTACAAGAGAAAAAAAAAATTAATTAATCATAGGGGCAGCAGGGGCCTCTGGACTGTAGTCCTCGGGATCTCTGAGGGTATGTTATTAGGGTTAAAATTGGGAAGGTGGGAATCAGTTTACAGCCTTGATATCACATTACTTATATTTAACAACCCATAGCTAAATAAAAGGATGCCATGTTAGAGTAAGTTTCTGCAGTATTGGTCCGGAAATCATTATTTACTGTTTATTTCAGTCAATTCAACACAAATATGACTGACATTGAGGTGTATTTGTTCTAAGGCTCTAGAAAACTGTGTATTTCTGTGTATTGGGGCTTTTGGTAGATGTCACAGGGCATTCATAGGCAAAAGAGCAGCAATGTATTTCTAAATTTCTAGACATTATAAAGTGCACTTTGTAGCTATTTATGCCTCTATAGCTGCATAGTCTCTCAGTTGATAGTGAAATAATTGTGATTCTTTGCATAATTTTAGAATATTACTTAATTAGGAAGGCAGGATCTTCCAAGCAAACGTCTGCTGTTGGCCCTGTGGATATGGCACTGAGAAATGCTAAGAGTTGGGTACAAAATCTTTGAATGTCGAGTGGGCTGTGAAGCAACTGAGAAGGTAGCCAGGCGATTAGATCAGCAGGAATCCTTGTCTTTCATTTCCTCTGACCTGAATTGTGGCTTTACCAACCTGGAGGAACTAGGAGCATGTTCTGATTATTAAATAGCTAAACTTCAAACACCACCAAACGGTGTTCAGTGAATGCATTCTTACTCCAGGGGATTGTTCTCTTATCTCTCCCTTCTGGAAAGTTAACTCTCAGGGGCAGCTGGCCCCTGACCCCAGCTCTGAGACAAAGAGAAAGAAAGAGAGAGAATCCTTGGCTCCCCACATGTCAGAAAGGGCTTACATTTGGGTAAATCAGAGGAGATACAAATGTTCTCTTATCCATTTTTGTTGGTGTTACAGTGGTTGTCTTTTTTTTTTTTTTCTGGACATCTTTTTTTGTAATAGACATGACTTTTGCCTTCATACTAATCAGCTTCAATCTAACTTGGTTCTGCTGAAGGCATTCTTAGCAGGCTGTCGGTATTCACTGGCTTCAAGACACTACTCTCTTATTGGATTTTTAAAAATAATCCTTACCCTATATCTGCATTTCTCCTAGAGGGAAAGATTGGCCCATTTCAGAAACTACATAGAACCTGAAGAAAGACACTTTCTCCGCCCCAGGGCAGGAGGCAGGGTGGGGTGAACTATTACAGAAAAATAAAAAATAGGGCTTTAAAAAATCCTGACATCTGTGATCCAATTATTATGATGAAATGCTTCCAACCTGTTAATCCTGGTGAAAATTAAAAATATGAAAGTAAATGTAATTGCTTTCTCCAAAACAGTGAAGATTTTGCGAATACTAGATTTTTTACAAAGGGAAATGTGCATGACATATTAAATATTTAACTAAAAGCCTAATAAAAGCTCGGTTTGTCTCATATTTCTAACAATGGTAGTATTAAAGATCAATTAAAACTAAGAGCTACTGGCTTTTGGAAGCTCCCTTATCTCCTTGAATGAATTCCTTTATTCTAGTATTTGTGATACTGCATTCTGATCAGACACTGCATTGTAATCATCTGATTGTAATCCACTGGCCCCAGTAAGCTGTTGGCTGCTCATTGGTAAAGTAGAAATAATGACACCCACCTCAGGGTTGTTGTAAGAATTGACCTAGTGATACATATAAATCACCTGCCACCTCTGGGCCCTCAATAAGGGATGGCTGTTCAGTTCCTCCTACACAGTGCTAAACAGACGACAATGAAATGATTGCAAAATTAAACACCTGGGTGAGGTGAGGTGCAAGGGGAGAATTTCAGAGGCATGCGCCTCCAGCAACATGACATGTGTTTATATGTTTGAGCCAGGGCACCAGAAGAAGGCGAAGTATTTGTGCCTTGGAAACGTCCATTCTACCACATTTGCATATTTCATTTTCCTTATTAAATTGAGTCACCTGAGGTTGGGAGCTGTAGCGCGTTGTTTACCTCTGTCTCCTAGGCACCTAGCACCCTTTACCTAGCCTGAGCCCCAGGACACATGTAGTAGCTACTCTTTGGGATTATGAAGTCTTAACAATCCAAACGGAGGTAACAACAATTTCACTATACAGAAGCCAGCCATTTAATAAATGACATTGGGATGAAATTAGATGGGCTTTGAATCCAGGTGAACTCAGTAGCACCACAGACAAATTGATTGATCTTGCTAAAGATTCAATTTCCTCCTCTGAAAAACCAGGACAATAATAATAATAATAATAATACCACCTACTTCAGAGAGTGATGATGAAGGCTAAATGATATAATGTATGTAAAGGATCTGGCATAAGGCCGGTAATTGGAGTGTAATGAATATTTGTTAGCATCATTACTGCTTCATGTTTTTTGAGAGCTCCTATCATGTGCTTACTATTTTTTATGCACAATATGGACTCCTCACGATGAATCATCCATTCACTCATGTAGAATATCTTATCAAGGGCATCAGTCATACATCAGATCAGCAAGAGCCTCGTCTTCATGGAGCTTACATGGAAATGGATGGGGTGGTACATAATAAACGAACAACCGAGCAACAACCAAAAATGAATTTCTGACATTAGTTTGGAGAAAATAAAACAGGAAGGAAGTAGATTCTAATGAAGGAAGAAATGCTGCTTTAAATGCCAGGGTGGACTCCATAAGTCCACTGAAGGAATGCCATTTGAGGAACCAGAAGGGCAGAGGAAACAGCAAATGTAAAAATCTGAGCAAGGAACTTTCTAAATCAGCAACTCTTGTGGCTGGAGCATTGTGAGAGAGGAAGAGATGACAAGTTGCGAAGTCAGAGGCAGGCAGGGAAGGATTTTATAATTGTACCAGGATGCCAGTGGGAGGTTGTAAAGGAAATAATACGAATTGCAACAATACAGTACCTCAGAATTAACAGAAGTGTAGAGGTTTTCTGATCTATTTTATAGATGAGGAAACTGGTTCAAGTGTCATACTGTGCCCTACTTCCTTGCTTTTATACATCTACTAAGGCCACTTAGAAAAACATCTGGGGCTTGCATTGTGGTGTAGCAGGTTAAGCTACCACCTGCAATGCCAGCATCCTTTATGGTCACCAGTTTGAGTCCCAGATGTTCCTTTTTCATTTCTGCTCCCTGCTAATGCACCTGGGAAAGCAGTGGAAGGCGGCCAAGAAGAAGCTCCTGGCTCCTGGCTCCTGGCTCCTGGCTTTGGCCTGGCCCAGGCCTGCTGTTGTGGCCATTTGGGGAGTGAACAAGTGGATGGAAGATCTCTCTTTGTCTCTGTATTCTCCTTTCTCTCTGAAACTCTGCCTTTCAAATAAATAAATAAATCTTTAAAAAAATTCATACTCCTGACACATAAAGCCATTTAATCCTGGCTCTGATTTCCCTTTCAGCCTCTGCATAAGTTGACATTATTCTATGATATGATAGGGGACAGTATCATACAATAGCCAAGAGCCCACGTTTTGTGAGTTTCAAATGGATTGTAGGATTTATCTACTGCACAAGTTTGGATGATTTCTTTCACTTCCCCAAGCCTCAGTTTCCATGTGTGAAATGTAACAGGGGTACCCAGGGCTGGAGAGTGTTCAATGAAATAGCGAAGTTGTGTGAGTTACTCATGTGTCAGCACAAT